TTGTGACGGAGTTTCCGCTCTGGTTGGCCAGGCTGGAGTGGGGCAATGGCGCGATTCTCGGCTCACTGCAACCTCCGCCTCCGCCGGTTCAAAGCTTTTCCTTGCTCCCTCCCGAGTAGTGGGATTAACAGGGCATGGTTACCACTGCGGGCCTAGGCTTAATTTTGTATTTTTAAAAAAAAAAAAAAGAAAGAAAGAAAAGAGTATCACCAGGGCCTCTGTGCGTGGGAAACCCTGTGAGGCTTTCAGACGATGGCCTCTCAAAGGACTCCAGGGAGCCGAAAGCTCAAAGGACTCCTGAAGCCACGCAAGTCACAGCCTGGACCTGGGACATCTCTCATGTGTCTGTGCTGAAGCCACTCAAACAACAGCCCAGACTGCTGGGAAGCAGGGCTGGAAACCTGACCGCACCTGTGTCAATATCAACTGGAAGCGAGTGGGCTCCCGGGTGCCCCGAAGAGAACAAACCTCTACAGCTAAGACAGGAAGCCCTGGAAATGACTGTTCCTAGGCTGCAGGAAGATGACCAAGGCCCTGCTGAGTAGCTACTAAGTGAAAAGTTCTTTTCAAGCCTTTCCCCAAATCAATGGGCCTGCACCGTCGTCACTGTCACCTAAGCCACCTAGGGGGCGACAAGACTGCCAGCCCTCCACGGTTGGGGACCCGCGGCTACTTAAAGGAAGAGCCAACTCCAAATACAACCACAGTGTGGCGCCTGTCATGATCTAGCCCTAAAAGTCGCGTTACTCCACGGGCAGGGACTCTGCTGAAAGGCAGTGTCCACATGCAGGACGCACAGTTCACATCTTTCCACTCCGGCTCTTTCTGAGTGAGTGACAGGAACGACACCCAGTGTTTTCCACAGCGTTCAGGCTCTGCAAAGTGCTCTCATGGATGCTCCTACTGCAAACGAGCTTGGCTTTCTCCCGCAGTCGTTAATTGTTCCGGAGATTAATCTTGCTAAGGCTTTCATGGTCTGAGGCGCTAGCAGTACATCTGGATCCTGGGGCTTCATTTGCAAACAGGAAATGGAAGGCTCTTCGGAGTTCAGTGGCCACACGCTTCCAAGTTCCCCTTTAAAGCTGAGACTCGGCCAGGTGCGGTGGCTCACGCCTGTAATCCCAACACTTTGGGAGGCAGAGGCGGGCAAATCACAAGGTCAGGAGTTCGAGACCGGCCTGACCAGGTGGTCAGGCCATTAAAAATACAAAAAAACTAGCCGGGCATGGTGGCGCATGCCTGTAATTTCAGCTACTCAGGACGCTGAGGCAGGAAAATCTCTTGAACCCGGGAGGCGGAGGTTGCAGGGAGCATGATTGAGATTGCACCACTGCACTCCAGCCAGGGCGACAGAGCGAGACGTCATCTCAAAAAAAGAAAAAACAACTGAGACTCGCTCCTTGGCTTTCAGGAGACAACAGGCTGTCGGCGGACAGGGTCTTGCACAGAGAAGCAGCAGATTTTTTTTTTTTTTTTTTTTTGAGATGGAGTCTTGCTCTGTCACCCAGGCTACAGTGTAGTGGCATAATCTTTGCTCACTGCAACCTCCGCCTCCCGGGTTCAAGCAATTCTCATGCCTCGGCCTCCCAAGTAGCTGGGATTACAGGCATGCGACACTGTGACTGGCTAATTTTTATATTTTTAATAGAGACAGGGTTTCACCATGTTGGCCAGGCTGGTCTCGAACTCCTGACCTTGTGATCTACCCGTCTCAGCCTCCCAAAGTGCTGGGATTATAGGCGTGAACCACCGCGCCTGGCCGAGCAGCAGCAGAATTGACACGCACCTTGTACACAGAATGAATACAAAAGCACTGCCACATTACCCTTCGCTGTTCTCTTTCCAACTGACTGCAGAGTGTCAGATCCCTAACTGACTGGACAGTCTACCATCTCTTCCACCAAAGGACAGACCTACCAAGTGGATCCAGCAGTAGATTCTGACACTCCCTGGTAAAACTCTCGGAGTGAGGCCTTGGAGGAGGTTGGGAGAGCTGGTTCACTTACACCAGTGGTTCTTAACAGGGGCACTTTTGCCCCCAAGGAGACACCTGGCAATGTCTGGAGACATTTCTGGCTGTCAGAACTGAGTGAAGGTCTGGTGGGTGCAGGCTAGGGATCCTGCTAAACATCCCACAACGCACTGGGAAGCCCCCAACAGCAAGGAATTATGCCTTAAATGGCAATAGTGCTGACGTGCAAAAAATGACAATGGACATCTTATAAAAGGAAATATTAACTAGGCTTTCTTTTTCTCAGAGGCGCTAGTGAGCTCAAGCATGAAGACACCGCAGAGATAGAAGGGGCAGTGAGCCAGGCATGGTGGCTCACTCCTGTAATCCCAGCACTGTGGGAGGCCAAGGTGGGCAGATCGCTTGAGGCCAGGAGTTCAAGACTAGCATGGGCAACATAGTAAGACCCTGTCACTACAAAAAAAATAATAATAATAAATTAGCTGGCCATGGTGGTGCACACCTGCAGTACTAGCTACCTGAGATGGGAAGATCACCTGAGCCCAGGAGGTTGAGACTGCAGTGAGCTATGATGGCACCACTGCACTCCAGCCTGGGCAACAGAGTGAGACCCTGTCTTTTTTTTTTTTTTTTAAAAAAAAAAAGAGGCCAGGCATGGTGGCTCATGCCTATAATCCCAGCACTCTGGGAGGCTGAAGCAGGCAGATAACTTGAGGTCAGGAGTTCAAGAACAGACTGGCCAACATGGAGAAACCCCATCTCTACTAAAAATACAAAAATTAGCCGAGCATGGTGGCACATGCTTGTAACCCCAGCTACTCTGGAGGCTGAGGCAGGAGAATCGCCTGAACCACAGAGGTTGCACTGAGCTGAGATTGCGCCACTGCACTCCAGCCTGGGTGACAGGGCCAGATTCTGTCTCCAAAAAAAAAGAAAAAAAAAAAAAGGAGGGCCAGCACCTATCACCCAAGAAAGGACCAAAGCCAAGCCAGGAGTCCCAACTGAGCTAATAATCCTATCAACAATGAAACACAACCACCATAAACGTGGCTATTCACACACCATCTCGATCACTTTATTTTGTAGGTGGTACTGAGAGTGATCAGAGGCAGACGAGGACATACCCAAATACAAGGGCAAGCCTGCCTGGTATGCTCGCTGGGAAAGCCTCAAGCCAAGACCTCAGCAACTGCTGGGGTGGTTATTCTGTGTTAGGAGGATACCTCCCTGACATCTACTCTTGATTTAAATCTTCCAAACAGATCAATTTGGGAGGCAGAGGCTGCTTGTGTAGGTGTTTCCATATCTATTTTGATTTGTGCTAGAAGCAATGAGCATGTCTAGAAAAAGAACAGATCTTAAGTGGCTTTCTAGCAATGATACAAGAGAGACACGTGGCCCAACCTGAGTAGCAAGATACACGCAGTGAAGGCTGAGATCACCCGAACCACTGTAGCAGCATACCTGGCTCGTCAGAGGCGACTGTATGTTTAACTTGCCATTCTTGGGAATGTCTATTCTGTATCCAAGGGGAAGAAAAGCGTTGAATCCAACAATGAGGTCAGGGTGCTCGTGGAAGAGCTGTGAGACACGTCTGATGACTCCAGGAGTATCGATGCTAGAAGAAACAACGGAAGTGGGCAAAAGGGTCTTAGGAAGTAAATGAAAAATGTAATCTATTCCCCACTCCCTTGATACTGTCACATAAAAACCTTCTCAACAGACAACAAAGGAACCTAAAATGTGACCCACCAGGCGCAGTGGCTCCTGCCTGTAATCCCAGCACTTTGGGAGGCCAAGGCAGGCAGATCACCTGAGGTCAGGAGTTCGAGACCAGCCTGGCCAACTTGGTGAAACGCTGTCTCTACTAAAAATACAAAAATTACCTTGGCGTGGTGGTGCGCGCCTGTAGTCCCAGCTACTCAGGAGACAGAGGCACAAGAATCACTTGCACCGGGGAGGCAGAGGTTGCAGTGAGCCAGGATCACACCACTGCACTCCAGCCTGGGAGACAGAGCGAGAATCCGTCTCCAAAAAAAAAAAAAGTGCCCCATGTGATAGCATCTGTACACCATGATCTATCTCCTGACTGGCTAGGCCTGAGCTCCTTGTTTCCTCCTGGTGGGAATGAGAGAATACTGACATTGCTCAGCTCCCCCAAAACACTCCAAGAATGGGCACTCGGTTCTGAAAATGTCAGGAGAGCCAACCGCAAGACCTGGACTCCAAGAAGTGGCAGGAGGCCAAAGTCCTCCAAGCAATGTGAAAAATTCCCTCATTTCATATCAGATAGAGATGACTATGACACAGGTTTCCATCTGAGCAAACAATTGCAATGCATAAATACCAATGGTACCACCAAGTATGGGAAACGTGTAATAGGAGGGGAGAGATGGAGTCTCCCTTCAGGTTGCATCGCAGAACAGCCCTTAGCACTGGGCTCCTGGAAAGAAACCAGGCCAACCCCACCATGTTTCCTAAGAGGGGGCAGCAGTAAGGTAAGGATATGACCTCCATGAGTCTGACTCAGAGGGTCTGAGTTCTAGTGTCACCTCTGCCACTTAGGTGGGTCCCTTAGCCACTCCAAGTCTCAGTGAGCCTCCTATAAAAACAAGGGCATGATCCCAGCATTCCCCATCTATCTGTAATCCTCCTTGATTCTGGGCCTGCAAAATCAGCTCATGTGTTTTAAACGTTTTCTGTGTGCCAGCTCCCTTACTAAGCATTTTATGCGTCTTACTTCCAAGCAGGCCTGGGACCACAGTGAGCCCAGAGAAGCATCTTGAGGACAAGATTAAAGGGGAAGAGGGTGCCAAAAATTTCAATCATCAAGACAAATAACATTTTACAGAGTTTGAAAATAAAAAATCAAAATGGGTCCCACCAAATCTTTCATGAACAAAACTAATTTTAAAATCAACATATTAAATCAAGGCTGGATTTGACTCTATGAGTGTGCACGGCCTTGCCCTCCCTGCCTCCCCCCAGATCCCTGTCCCGCTTCCAGGAATCCCCACAAAGCTCCACAAGGTGGGTACTATCCATTTTCATTTTTGTTACGAGAAGGAGCTAAGACTCTGAGAGATTCGACAACCTGCGCAAGGTCACCCGGCCCAGGGGGGCAGCCTAGGGAGGGGAGGTCTCACCCCGCTAGGCCTGATTCCGGCCCAGGGGGGCCCCCCGAGGTGGAAAGGGGCCCCGCGGGTACCTCTGGCTTTTGAACTCCTTCATGATCTCCAGGAAGCCGTTGTAGGTGGCGGGGTCGCTGCCAAAGCGGATCTTCACCTGGTCCAGATAGGTGAGGGCGTCTTCTACCTGCAGAGAGGGGGAGGGTCCCGGTGGGCCCGGGTCGCGGGAGGAGGGGACGAGGGGACGGGGTCCCTGAGGGGAAGAGGATGGGCTGGGCCTTCGGAGGGCGGAGGTGAGTGGTGAGGGGTGAGGGGTTCGGGGCCGTGCAGAGGGGACGCCGAGGCTGGGCCGGGGCCGGGCGGGGCCGGGGTCGGGCGGGGCCTGGGTGAGGGGCGCCCGCCCGCGGGGTCCAGAGGATGGGGTCCCCGAGTGAGGGCGGGGACGCCACTCACGTGCACTGGCAGCTTCTCGTGGCCCGCGGAGCCCGAGCGACCCCAGCGGGCGCCGCTCAGCCCCCGGCCCGCGGGGCCGCCGCCACCGCTGCCGCCGCCAGCGTGCGCCATGTCCGAAGTCGGAGCTGCGCCCCGCCCCGCCCCCGCCCGAGGGCCTGCCGCGCATGCGCAGCCTCCGCCTTTGGAGGCGGGGTTTGATGATGTTAGAGGGGCGGTGCTCTTTGAGGGACTAGTCGTGAAGATCTTCTCCTTAAGATTGGTATCATAATTAATGATTTATATAGCAGGGGTAGGCGAACCAAGACCCGCCGGCTGCTTTGTCCGGCCCTGCAAGCTCAGAATTATTTTTACATGTTTACATAGCTGGGGGAAAAATCCAAAGGAGAAGAATAGTCTATGACCTGTGAAAAGTTTCTGAAATTCACATTTCAGTGTCCCTGAATAAAGTTTTATTGGCACATAGACACGCCCACGCGTTTACCTAGCATCTCTGCCTGCTTTTGCCTTGCAACAGAGTAGGTAGTTGCTAAAGATGCTACAGATCTGCAGAACCTGAAGTATTTACGATCTTGCCTTTTATGGAAAAAGTTTGTTGGCCCCTGCTTTATAGAGTTGATAGGACAATAAAGTATGAACACCCAGCGCCCTAATACAGGGCCTTGCGTGGTGAATTTTTGCTAAATGGCCTTTGAGTTACTCCTACTCCTCCCACCTTCACTTCCCTATCCTTGGCCTCATCACTTCCCATCTGGACCAGTTTAGGAGCCTCCTATCCCTGGTACTTTCTCAGCCCTGGTACTATCAAGAACTCTAGGCTGGGGTAGTGGCTCACGCCTGTAATCCCAGCACTTTGGGAGACAGAGGCGGGAGAATTGCTTGAGGTCAGGAGTTCAAGACCAACCTGGCAGCATAGCAAGACCTACATCTCTACTAAAAAAAATTAAAATGAGGCTGGGCGCAGTGGCTCACGCCTGTAATCCCAGCACTTTGGGAGGCCGAAGCGGACGGATCACAAGGTCAGGAGTTCGAGACTAGCCTGGCCAATATGGTGAAACCCTATCTCTACTAAAACTACAAAAGAATTAGTCAGGCGTGGTGGCAGGCACCTGTAGTCCCACCTACTTGGGAGGCTGAGGCAGGAGAATCGCTTGAACCCAGAAGGCGTGAGCCAAGATCGTGCCGTTGCACTATAGCCTGGGCAACAGAGCAAGACTCTGTCTCAAAAAAAAAAAAAAAAAAAAGAAAATGAAAAAATTGGCTGGGCGCTGTGGCTCACGCCTGTAATCCCAGCACTTTGGGACGCCAAGGCGGGTGGATCACCTGAGGTCGGGAGTTGGAGACTAGCCTGACCAACACAGAGAAATCCCATCTCTACTAAAAATACAAAATTAGCCAGGCTTGGTAGCACATGCCTGTAATCCCAGCTACTCGGGAGGCTGAGGCAGGAGAATTGCTTGAACCCAGGAGGTGGAGGTTACAGTGAGCCAAGATCGTGCCATCGCACTCCAGCCTGGGCAACAAGAGCAAAACTCTGTCTCTAAATAAATAAATAAATAAATAAATAAATAAAATGAAAAATGAAAAAATTAGGTGAGCGTGGTGGTGCACACGTGTAGCCCCAGCTACTCGGGAGGCTGAGGCAGGAGGATTGCTTGTGCCCAAGAGTTCAAGGCTGCAGTGAGCCATGATCTTGCCACTGCACTCCAGCCTGGGAAGCATACCAGTGCCTTTTTTTTTTTTTTTTTTTTTTAGCATTTTTCTCTTAAAAGAAAAAACAGAGAAACCAAAAACTCCACTCATTCCACCACTGCTTTCAAACCTCCAAGGTCTTCCTATTTCTAAGGAGATGAAATCTAAGCACCTACATTGCAGGCTGTCAGAATTGGTCCTTAGGAACCTTTTCCTGCAGGATTTTCCACCAAAGCAAACTGCCTCTGTGCAGAACTTCACACCATTGCCTGACCAACTTGGCTGCTTCCTGGCCCCAAGCATTGGCACTCACCATTTCCTTTGCCAAAAGTCCTGTCATGCCTCTTTGTTATTCAGAAAGCACCTGTACATCCTTTTAAACACAGCCCAAATATCCCTTTCCCTCAGGAAGCTTTCCCAGTCCCCTTCTATGTCTCCCCTCAGTCCCTTGTATTTCATATTTGTTTTGTGTCCATCTCTAACACAAATCCCTGACACAGCCTCTCCATCAGCATTCATCACATAAATGAACATTTGATTAATGACCAAGTGCATTCTATTTTTACAAGTGAAGAGGTGCAGGAAAGTTGAGAGTAAATTGGCATTGGCTGCATCATTTACCAGGCACCTTGCTAAGTGTCAGGAATAGAATGGTAAAAAGGAACGCAAATTTGGCTATTAAGAGCTTTCAGTCTTTCAGGATAGGAATCTAGTAATCACACAAATGTAAAGTTTCACATGTAACAAATACTTTAAAGAGAAGGTATACATGTAACAGTTCCTAAATTTCTGTTGCTATGGCTGTGTAACAAATGAGCCCTTGACAATCCCAGCACTTTGGGAGGCCAAAGTAGGGGGATGTCTTGAGGCCAGGAGTTTGAGACCAGCCTGGGCAACATAGCAAGATCCCATCTCTACGAAAACATTAAAAAGAAAGAAAAATGGAAAGAAAAAATAAAAACATTGTAAGGTCTGGGCTTTCTGTAAAAGAGAAGAAAAAAAAAAAAAAGGCAGTTCAAGACTTAGTGTAGCAGGACGAGCCACAGACAAAACCTCTCAGACACTGAGTGGTGGAAGGAAGGGCTTTATTCAGCTGGGAGCATTGGCAAGCTACTGCCTTAAAATCCAAGCTCCCCAAGGGTACAATTTCTGTCCCTTTTAAGGGCTCACAACTCTAAAGATTTCACATGAAAGGGTCATGATTGATTTGAGCAAATAGGGGGTATGTGACAGGGGCTGCATGCACCAGTGGTCAGAGTGAAACAGAACAGAGCACGGAGTTTCACAATGTTCTTTTATACAATGCCGGGAACCTATCGATAACATTGGTTTCTACGTCATGAGTTGATTTTTAACTACTAGGTTTAGGCCAGGCAGGCCCACGCCCGGTTTTGGGCCTGGTGCTGAGCTGCCTGTTTTTGGTTTTACTTCCTTGTTTTTTCTTAAAACAGGTACTGAGTATAAAACAATATAAAACAATATGAGAGGGTCTCTCTCTTTCCTCATTTCCCCCCTTTGAGACTCTCACTTTTTATTAGTGGGAGTTCTCGCTCTTATTTTTGTTATTTATGTCTTTTTGTGCAATAGATTGATAGTGATTTATATAGTACACTTGTGCTGAAGCATTTTGGTGAACTAAGGTAGGAATGACGTTTTTTATCATTTGAAGAAGTACAGGTAGCAAACAAGGGAGCAGTCAGCAGGTTTTTATTACTATTATGACTTTTATAGTAAGCGTTTTAAATCCTCCTAGTGCTGGGAACTAATTTTTAAACATGGCTTCGGGGTCGAATTCGTGCTACACTTGTATGGGCACGTGTGTTGGTTTTGTCATATTTTTAGCTATGTCTTTAACTACTTGCCTTTGATTATCTATGTGTAGACAGTAATTAGTAAAGTTAAATTTTTTATAGACCACTTTTTCAGCTGCTAGCAAGTAGTCCAAAGCCAATCTATTTTGATAGATAGCATTTCTTATCTGAGTTTCTTGCCAGGCCAGAATAGTCAAAACTTGCCCGGTTTTATTAGTGATGATTTCTAAAACAGCTTGCAACCGTATGATTTGGTTGAGCGTGTAAATGGGGGTCCAATATCCCCATGAGCCATCTTGTGTCTAAGTGGCAGGTCTATAGTATTATATAATATTTTAGGAGGTCATTGACCATCTTTCCAATTACCTATGGCTATGCTTTGTTTTCCAAGGGAAGCATAGACAGGGAAGTCCAGGAGTTCACCTGTTTTATGGGCAGTAGGAAGAAAGATGGTTTAATAGTGCCAATAACACAACTACCTGTCCACTGGTCAGGCAGCTGAGCGTAGGCTGTATGTCTACTTATCCAGTATAACCTGGTGGGGACAGTCCAGTCCTGTGGAATTCTGGGTGCGCCCAGACAGTCTGCAACCTTGGAAATTTACTGAATGGATCTCTTTCTGTGTAACTGGAACTCTACCATGTAACCGGTTTTTTTGGTACCATTATACACTTTTTGCCCTAGACAACTAAGTCATCCTACAGAATGAGTGAATTTTTTCTTTTTTCTAACTATGCAATATTGTCCAATAATTGAGACTTTTAGAACCTAGAGATGATTAGGGTGATTCTTTTGGGCCAGGAATTCATCAGGAACTGGGTTCGTAGGCACTAATTCTTAGGCTTCTTATGGCCATTGATCTCTTATTACAGTTTTTTCACAAACATAACATGAACTGACATTTAGAGACTGGGCTACATGCTCGGCTAATTGCAGAAACAAATTTCTGTTTTTTCCTGGAGTCTCTGGTACTGGCACATTTAGTTTATCATAGAAAGTCTGAAATACTGGTTCTGGAGAGAGTTTACGAACCCCCTCTTTTACTAAGATACTTACTGTAGGACCTAGTCTTTTCCTATTGATGCCCAGAGATACGTGTTCTTCTTTTTTTTTTTTTTTCCACTTGGGATTAAGGGGACTTTGTAATTATTAATTTTAAGGGAGTTTGGCTAGGCTTTCCCACTGAGTACAGGACGGTGCTTGCCTTCTCCTTTTTTGGAGCTCATAAGAACAGTCTTTTTAAATCCCTTTTTTAATGTCAGTCTAGGCCGGGGTCGACAGGGTTGGGCATCAAGCCTGGTAATCCCAGCACTTTTTGGAGACGGGCCGAGGACGAGCGGATCACGATGGGGTCAGGAGATCGAGACCATCCTGTCTAACGGATGGAAAACCCAGCAGTCTCTACTAAAAAAATACAAAAAAGCTAGCCGGGTGAGAGGTGGCAGGAGCGCCTGTTGTCAGGTTCCAGCTACTACGGAGGGCTGGGCAGAGAGACATGGCGTGAACCCGGAGAGGCGGACGCTTGGCAGTGAGCTGAGGATTCCGGCCATCCTGCACTTCCAGCCTGCCGGTGAGCAGAGCGGACTCCGGTTTCTCAAAAAAAAAAAAAAATAAAAAAATAAGTTAGT